GTAGAGAAACTATATCATTTTCCACAGGAGTGATTAATCTGCATGATAAAGTAGACGTGTTTAAACACCACACACAAATGTTCAATTTGTAATTACTGATAAAGTAAAATATAATTCTCTTAATTTAATTACATAATTAATAATAAATATTTCTTTATTTATTTAAGAATAATATAAAAATAATTAATATTAATAATTAATCAATAACAAATTTTACGTAACTTTTAAAAGTTTTTTTTAATTATTAAATTTTGTTACATTATTAAGTTCAATTTTAAACTTTTACAAAGGCAAACATATTTACATCAGAAAGAAATAATAGAGGTATGTAAAAGTTTCCATCGTTCTTAAAGCAATTTTTTCCATAATATCTTATAAATAATTCAATATTTTAAATAATATAAAATTCTTTTTTCTATCACTTTTAGCCGCTTTTTAGATTAAAAATGGATACTGCGATAAAAAAGTCTTTTTTTAGAGCGATCTTTCTATACATGAGCGATGGAAACTTTTGCATATTTGTATATTATTATCAATTAAAATCAATAGGTGCGTAAAGAGCCATAATGCTGGTTAGTCGTGCGAAGGTTAAGATATATTCATTAAATTGTTTACATCAAACGTTTCGACCTGCCATCAGGCCTTCCTCAGTTTACAATAGTAAAAATACAAATAAAACAGCAAATTCGCTCGCAAAATTCAAGACAGTGTGAAAGATGTGGAAGACATAAAAAAACGTCCTTTTCACCCGACTGTGGTTTAGTAGAAAAAATCAGATTTGAATTGAAATCATGTTAAAGCGCTGGTCCAAGTAGAAAGGACGAAGTGGAAAACAGAGAACAGATAGTCTTATCATTTTGAAAGTCAAGCTCTTGATGTAAACAATTTAATGAATATATCTTAACCTTCGCACGACTAACCAGCATTATGGCTGTTTACGCTCCTATTGATTTTAATTGATTTTAATAATCTACTGAGTCTTATATTATTTAATTTTGTATATTATGTATATAATTATAGAAATACGTACTTATTGTAAGGTTTGTAACCCCACATGTGAGCGGCAGAATTCACCAGCCAAGTAACATGTAGATTTATGCAATATCTGCAGATTGCGAGGTGCCACGCGCACCACAAAGACTCACCAAATGCCCAATAAGGTACTAATGATGGTATGATAAAGCAGCAAAGCGGCATCAACAAAGCGTACCATCTAAAAAAGAATTTATCGATAACGAATGATGTTCGTAACATTAAGTAAACAATAATATGAGGGGTTTATAGAAAAAGGGGATTTGATGTACTTTTTCTCTGAATCCTTTATATATGGTAGTAGTCGGCTAAATTTTACCTTACACGCACGGAGAAAATTTTATATCAAAAATTACCATATACGGCAGTAATTGCGGACCCAAAATTTTTACTATGTTTTTCATGTGAAAAACAATAGTAAAAA